AATTTGTAATATAGCTGAGTTGCAAAAGAATTTGGACACATGTAGCCTTAACAGGCGATAGTGAATGAAAAATATGATGAGAGTAAAAGCGATGTACTAGTAATCAAGTAGTCTCTACATCTCTATAGAAAGTATGATTTTTTATATTATGTAAGTGAAAATAAAAAAAAATGGAAAATTAAAAGATATTTATTTATACAGTCAAGGTGGTACAGATTATAATATACAACAGAAGATAATAAAATTAAAGTAAAATAGTCTTATTTCTCTAGTATATGCATGATCATAATCTGTTATCTTGTCACGCCAAGCTGGAGTATATTAACTAGGGTGTATAGTCCTGTGGTCCTCACACAAGGCATTCCTGTGTCGTGAGGGCCCGCCACAAATTTCTTTTCACACATGGCTTTCATAATTTGACGCTGGGGCAAAGTGCGATTAATAGGTTACGGAAAAAAATATAAGTATTCTAATTAAATCATAGGTAGGTAGTTTCTTATATTTTTTTCGTTTAAGAACTTCCGCTCGCGCCCCTTGGCACGTGCCTAGTTTGCCTTAAGGATAGTCCGCCACTAGTTACAAGTCACAAGGCATCCGCATTTTGATTCTCAATCGACGCTAAATGTGGATATCTATGAGCCACATCATCCACTTACCATCCAGGTGGACTATGTGCGAGTTTGTCACCGTTTGTTTGATTAAAAAAAAACTATATAATTTTAATAATTATTATTATCATTCATCAATAGATACTTTGAACATAGGCCTATCCCAAGAAATGAGTGTGCGGTTTTTGACGGAAGCAAGTATTTATTTGGCATATAAATAATTGTAACGGCCCTGGGTTTTGTTCAATTAAAATTGATGTGCGTAAAATACGTCCATAGGTACCAGAGAAAATTTACTTAGTGTACATACTTTATAAGGGTTATTTTTCTAATTATTTAAATGAACTGAACTAAACGTTCGTAAAAATTTAATTTCATATATTATTTAAATGATTTTTGCGATAAGAAATAAGTTAATGAAAAATATTAATTTATAAACCAAACAACCCAAATGTAAAATTAAATTACTTATCCCTCGAGCATTCGAGTTGAGAACGCCAGCACCGAGATTTCACGTGCGACTCAATGTCAAGGACACTGACGTTCCAATAAATTTTCAATTACTGATACTGTGGCTCCGTCACCGTGATGACACTCGTGTAATATACTTATTTGCATTTTTAATGCTGGAAATTATCGATAATGCTAGACGAAGAAGAACTTAAATATTTTAGAATCGCATAATGATATTCATAGAGAAAATGTTTCATCTACAAACAGTGATATTGAATCGGTAAGTAAATATTCATGTAAAATAATTAGTCAGGTATTTGAGAAACTCACACTGCATTTATATTTGCTAAATTTATACATTTTACAGGAACATTAAGAATCTTCTAGTATATGAAGTAGAATCATCATGTCACAAAGTGATAAATCGCCGCTGTTATTCGACCGAAAAAGAAAATAAAAAGAAAAATTTCCGTTGGTATATCAACGCAGACCGAAAACCATTACATATGCTATGTGAAATCGGAAGAAGACTACACGGCCTATATAAGTTTGCCCGCTTCAAGATTCTTTAAGCAAAGACCAGAAGATCCTCGAAATTAGCATTTTGGTACATTAATTGCATTTGAAATGGAGTCAGTCCCATACGAGATTCGATCGCAAGTGGACATAAATTTGATGTCACGCTCAGAAAGGAGCTATACCTATATTAGATCAAGGTCCATGCCCATCTCCTGAATGCCGATTAGTTTTATGAAGAGAATTAACACTAATTAAGTGCAAGGTTATTAATGAAAATTAAGACTGATTAAAGAATATAAGAAGAAAATTATGTTGATTAAAATAAATAATAATCTATAATTTTTAAAACTTTGTTTCATTTATCGATAAACGGTTGTTCCAACACTATGCAACATATTAAATAAAAGTTCCTGGCGCTGGAGACACTCCACGTCAACTAAAGCGCGGCGCCGAAAGGGTTAAATATTACATGATGATGACTTGATTATCATTTTAATTATGAAACAATACAAATATAAATTTGATAAATCTTTTACAGTGGCGCAGCACTGGTCTCAGAAATATCACGGGGATGGCGAGGCAGCAAGGTGTTTCATTTCATCTTGCGCTTAGTAACACTATATATTTCTGTTAATTTTTTGACATTGGTATCAACAACTGTCCGCAATTAATTAAATATATTAAATTTAATAGCAAAATCGAATTAACCGTGCAGTTTTTCTAGTAACATGAGCATTGCGGAATATTACGTGAGTGGCGCTGACGGTATTCACCTTAAGATTCGTAATATTACGGCGATGGCGGTGAAAGGGTTAAACATCAAGTTAATACAGGTTGTGTATAACATCACAATAGACTTTCTATTAGGAGGTTAAATGCAATGGCTCCTATTTTTAACAGACTAGAAGAGGTGGTTCTAGATCAAGTAGATTGTATTTTGCTTTATGAAAGCATGTGAAAGCATGATCTTTGTTTTTTATTGGTGCCGACGGGGATCGAACAGCACTTGCTCGTTTACTTTGAAACACACGACGAACTCTTACCCCTGCGCTATTAAGCCTTAGCCCACGGCTCTGTAGACTTTGAACTATATATACACTAAGAAATTCAGATCAATAGGTCGGACGGTTATATAACGCCGTTAAAGCAGAACTACAATAACAGTTACAGTGATCAGTGATCACTTAATAATTCAGGCCAATCAAGTGGCGGCAACCAATCGTAGCCGTCACACATCTATTGTTTCTATGTGCGAATTGTTGATGTCATTTGTTTTTCTGGTGTAGGTACTCCTTTTAATAGGTTTCAAAACTTATGAAAATGATAGATATTATATACTAATAGCGGATGTCGGATTACATCAACAACTTTTCGAGTTCTATTACAAAAATAAAAACTAATTTATAAGTGGCTTATAATTTTTTACTGTCTTTATAAGTAGCTTATAATTTTTTACTGGACTGAATGTAGAAAGTAATAGTTTTCTGTAGACTGTACAGACGCGACGACACGTCGCCTTGTACACCATTACCCATTACATAAAAACTTTAAAATAAGTTGAGTTAACGAAAATAAAAAACAACCAAGTTCTGTATTCAAATATGATACGTTATTGTTTTTTTTTTCCGACGTATGTTGACAAATAATATATTTTTTTGTAAGAGCAAGTTAACCCTTTGTTGAATCTAGAATACTTTTCGAAAACGTGTTTTGGAAACAATAGTGTAAATATTCAGTGAATGTAGTCATTAGAAAAAATTTAAGTTTACATAATTTTTTTCCGCTGCTATAAACTGTTTAGATTTATCGCAAAAATTGTGGAAGACAAGTCTCTTTGGGTCTAATCAGCTCCTTGACTCGCTTGTAGTACTTGGAAAGTTCACATAACTAAACTAAACAAAAAAACATGCGTGAGTGTCGTGGAACACTCGGTTGGAACGAAATACCTTTCGTTGTATATTATTATTGATAAACGTATTATATTATTGATTAACGAATACAAATAAATGAATTACTAGCGTCTGTTAAAATGAAGCATCATTTAAAATAATATTTGTTTCATGGCAAGATAAGAAAAGGTGCGAGGGAGATGGATACTTTTCCATTTCGCTCGCTCTATAGAAAGGGGGTCGTGACGGAAAAATCTTATACTTTTTCTCGCCTAGCCCCCTTCCGTCACATTCGTACGATGTCATAAGGAACTTCGTTTGAAAAACTGAAACCTGCCAAAAACTGAAAAAGTGTGCAAGTTCGTTCCTAAGAGCAATCATTCTTTCCGTTCTCTACCTGCGTTAAGTAAAAGACCCGTTTATTATTATTATTATTCATTGACTTCACCAGGATATTATTACCTTTCTGGATAGCTGATTAAATGGGCATGTTTCTTAAAATATTTTTATGTCTCATGTCATAGTAATTTTTTGAAGTACGTAACATTTTATGATACATAAAGTGTACAAAAAAGAAAAAAATAATTTATTAAGACTCATAATTTTTTATTACGAATAGTTTTAGCATTTTGACTATCATGCCCTGCCAGGAAGTTGTCGAGTTCCCAGTAACCCTGTATAAAAAAATATTTTTGTTTGTTCGTATTTTATGCGTTGCCATACCGTTTATCAGATTGCGCTAAAACTTTGTTAGCTTTTGCTTGCACTTGTGCGAAGGTTATATATAGTACAATTAACTTACAGTAGGTGGCGCGCGTGTCATACCGACAAAATTTATTTTAACGTTATATAATATATCATTCAACTTCAAGTAATGTAAGCATTATCATTTCAAATTAAACAATATTAAAACGATATTTCCGTAATTATTTCTTCGGCGGCTGCAGCGCGTCGGGTATCAGGTGCTTTATAAAAAGTAAAAAAATATGTTAAGCATTTACGTTTTATTTGGGAAATGCCTCGGCAACAGTAGCGCAATAAATTCCGCGACTTTGTAGTCAACATTGTAACGTCAGTAAAATATTTTTAAATAACCATTGTAACATACTAATTTGATTTTATAAGTTTATTGTTAAAATTTAATTAGTATTGTTAGTTTGCACAGCCTTGACCAGTTTCAATCAATTTATCTACTTCAGATTTCAGCGTACCCATATTACCTGCATCAACCATCAACGTAGCTTAGAACACGATGCCCCATTGTTTGCGGGGGGAAACTGAACCATATTCGAAAATACTTTATAAATTCAAGCACGGAATACGAAATGAATTATATATTCTAACTTATAAGTACTAAAACTTAAAGCAAACACTTTTCACAAACATTACTAGGCTACGTAGTCTGTTGTAATGGAGTTTGCATTTTTATTTTTATGTCGAATATTTTAAAGTAAAACAAAAAAAGATATGTGTTGTATTAGAACATAAAATGCACGTCTGCTAAAACGTTTGTGTGGTGTTGTGATTTTAGCAGTATAAACTCGGCGTTCGATGAGCTGCGTGTGCACGTGCCTACATTTCCGTACGAAAAGCGGCTGAGCAAAATTGACACGCTTCGGTTGGCCATCGCGTACATCGCCCTGCTAAGGGAGGTTAGTATTATGTCTGTTAATAGCCGTGTAGTGGCGGTGTAAGAATATTCACTACCCCATATCGTCCCGAGGACAACTTTAAAACGCACCCTCGTACACACGTACGAGCGTGCGTTTTTAAGTTCGCGGAATGGGGAGGTAGGTAATAAGTGGGGACGTCGCTGAGTTACGTGCTAATTGAGCAACTCATTATTAGTACAAATACCGGGTTTTATTGTGTAATTAGATCATTAGTCTTTGAGTTATCGTCAACCAAACAAGCCAATCGGGAAGAAATTGTGAAATATGGAGAAAATCGAGTTCCGTGCCGTTATAAAGTTCCTTACCAAGCACGGAAAATCAGTTCAGAATATACTGGAAGAGATGTCATCCGTTTACGGAGACTTTTATCCAAGTAAAACTATGGTTTTCAAGTGGCATACCCTTTTTAAACAAGGCAGAGGGTCACTTGAAGACCACGGCCAGGAAGGCCGATCGAGGTGACTACTTCGGAAATTATTCAAAAAGTCAAAAAATTAATATTAGAAGATGTCCGCCTAAAGAAAAAACAGCTCGCAGAAAGGGTTGGAGTATCAGATACAACCATTTTCAAAATTCTTCATGACCATCTTGGCATGACTAAAGTCAGCGCAGGATGGATGCCTCAAAAGCAACAGCGCATTGTGTGTTCTCGTGCATTTTTGGACCTCTATGGAAGACAAAGATGGAGTGTTGGCTCAAATTACTACTGGTGACGAAACTTGGGTTCACCATTATAAACCTGAGTCAAAACAGGACTCTATGCAGTGGCATAAATAAGGCACACCACCACCCAAGAAATTTAAGGTTTTTTTTATAGAATAGGGGGTAAACGAGCATGCGGCTCACCTGATGGTAAGTGACTACCGCCACCCATGAACAACCGCAACACCAGGGGAATTGCAGATGCGTTGCCGGCCTTTTAGAAAGGTGTAAGCTCTTTTCTTGAAGGTTCCTAAGTCGTATCGGTTCGGAAAATTCGCTGGTGGTAATTGATTCCACAAAGAAGTTGTGCGAGGGAGAAAACTTCTTCTAAATCGCACAGTGGTGGACCGCCAATCATCCAGATGGTATGGATGGTAATGCGAGTTTTGTCGCGATGTACGATGGTGAAATTGAGCAGCTGGAATTAGTCCGAACAATTCCTCAGAGCATTCCCCGTGATAGATGCGATAAAATACGCAAAGAGATGCAATATCTCTACGCAGTGCCAGTGTATCGAGCCGATCGGAAAGAACTCGTTCGTCGACGATTCGAATCACTCTGCGCTGGATGCGGTCAAGTGGAAGGAGCTGGCACTGGGGTGCCCCGGCCCAGAGATGAGAACAGTATTCCATGTGGGGCCGAACTTCCGCTTTGTAAAGTTGCAAGCGATGTGCCAGCATGAAATACTGTCTCGCTCTGCTGAGCACGCCAAGCTTTTTAGAGGCCAATTTGGCCTTCCCTTCCAAGTGACCATGAAACTGCACTGTTTCTCCTGCATTGATATGCAGGAGAAACAGCGTTGGTGATAGCACGCAGCCTTGTGGAACACCAGCGTTGATAGGCTTGAAATCAGAGCATGCACCGTCTACTACGGCCTTGATGGTCCGATCAGCAAGGAAACTGGTGATCCATTTGCACAATTTCTCGGGAAGCCCATAGGAAGGAAGCTTCGAAAGAAGCGCCTTGTGCCAGACCGGATCGAAGGCCGCCGCTATGTCCAAACTAACGGCCAATGCCTCCCCCTTGGACTCTACTGCCTCCGCCCATCTATGAGTTAAGTAAACTAGAAGATCACCTGCTGATCGACCCCGACGAAAACCGTACTGACGGTCACTGATCAGCTGGTGATCCTCAAGGTACCTCATGAGGTGGCAGTTTATAATGGACTCCATTATTTTGGAGAACAAGGAGGTGATGGCGATAGGCCTGTAGTTGGACGGGTCTGAGCGGTCGCCTTTTTTAGGGATCGGGTGGACCAAAGCTGTCTTCCATGAATTCGGGACTACGCCTTGGAAGTAGGAGTACCGGAAAAGACGCGTTAAAACCGGTGCCAACTTCGGAGCACACGTCTTCAGCACAATGGGAGGGACTCCATCGGGCCCACTCGACTTGCTGACGTCCAGGGATAAGAGTGCTTTGCCAACCGAGCGCTGTGTAAATCGCACATCCGGCATGGAGCACTCACATCGCGGGATGGTCAGCGGTGTGTTCCCCCCGTCATCTAGAGTCATTTAAATCCCGAGACGTTGATGCGTCAGCCCAGGCCCGGTAGCACTCCTGCTTATAGCGTGATGCTATTTTACAGGAGCGACCAAACCATGGCTGGGATCTGCCTCCGATGGGCACCACAGAGGATGGAATAAAAAGTTCCATACACTGAAGTACCACATCAGCAACAGAATCGGCAACAACGCTGGGATCTTCCGGCGAGAAGCAAACCCTAGGGTAGGATGCAAAAAAAGACCGCATCCCGTCCCAATCAGCTGACCTATAGTGCCAAACACGGCGGCAAGCTGCAGATCGCAATTGCGATTGGAGCGTGAGTGGCACCGTGCTCCGGATCAGACAATGGTCCGAAGAGCCCAAAGGGGCATCGACGGAGACCTGATATCCGTCCGGATGAGAGGTCAGCAGAAGGTCCAACAGGGAAGGTACATGGTCTTCCACATCTGGGATCCGCGTAGGCGATGTAACCAGTTGTGTTAGACCATATGCCAAAGCAAAGTCGTAGACAGATCTACCCGCATGATCGGTTAAACGAGAACCAAGCCATTCAGCGTGGTGGGCGTTGAAATCACCGAGTATCACGATCTCTGCGGATGGGACCTGTTGTAGCACGGAGTCTGCAGCCATTTGAACGTGGTCGATGAGTCGGTCTATGTCGGCATTACCGCTATGGGACCTATAGAGGCACCCGTAGACGCGGGGATGGTCGTCGCTGTCTACGCGCAGCCATAGGATGGACAGGTCCGTACCTTCAAGGCTGCCAAGGCGTCGAAAACAGATGTCCTCTCTGACGTATACACAAACTCCAGCCCGGGGCACAAAGGAGTGTTCCAATTTGTATCCCGGGTAGGAGAGATATGAAGTATAAGTTTACCCCTACTTTCGCACTATGAGGCAAAACAATTACGAAATGGCCCCAAGTTCCCGGCGCCTCTTTAATGGGGCAGGGGTGCGACGAATCTCCGGGAGGAAAACTGGCCACGAGGTTCGCCACCCGTCACGTTCTGTCCCCTGGAGGGGCGAAAAGTGGATTACGGAGGCCCGTCTGGCTACGTTGAATGTATGTAGAGCAATGAATGATAAGATGGATAAATTATGCGATATGATGTATGATAGAGGAATAGACGTGTTATGTGTAAATGAGACGAAACGGAAGGGAATGGATGCCACTACACATGGCATGTATACTGCGTACTGGTCTGGTGTAGACGAGACCGAGCGGGCATGCCAGGGAGTCGGTATCATCCTTTCAGAAAGAATGGGTCATTGTGTAAAAGAGTATGAATGTGTAAGCCCGAGACTGCTATGGATACGAATGAAAGTGGGCTTAAAGAAGTTGTTTGTTCTAGGGGTCTACGTCCCAACATATGTAAGCCCACTTATATCCGAGAGCAGTTTTGGGAGTTGGTAAGAATGGTGCTAATGAAAACATTGTGAAATTAGGGGATTTTAATGGAAGGGTTGGGGTGAGGAGGCTTGGTTATGAAAGGATATTGGGAACGTTTGGTGATGAAAGTATAAATGAGAATGGTGAAAGCCTCCTCACCGTATGTGTGGAAAAGAATCTTTTTGTGACGAACACTTTCTTTCGTCATAAAAAGATTCACACATATACATGGGAAAGAGGTGATGATAGAAGCATGATAGATTTCATAATTGTTGATGAAAGAATGAGGAGCGCGGTGGTGGATACAAGGGTTTACCGGGGGTCTAACGTAGGGACGGATTTTTATTACCTATACCATTACCTAGTCCTATGCCGAATTAATGGTCTTTTCAGACGTTGGCGGCATCGGACATCTGTGTCTACCACTGCGTTACAGCGTATAAGAACAGAGAGGTTACAAGATGAAGGTGTGAAAGAGAAGTTCAAATGTAGATTGAGAGAAAATATAAGTGGTATGGCTGAATTGTGTATGAATGATTTAGACTTGGAGACTGTGTGGTATAATGCCAAGAAAGGTTTGGTGGATGCAGCTACTAGCTACTATGTGGTGTAAGTAAGAGAACGAGTGAAAGGAAAAATAACACTTTATGGTGGGATGATGAAGTACGGATGGAGTTGAAGCAAAGAAGAAAGCATGGCTAGATTTACTAGCAACCAAGGCTAGTAATTCTAGCGGTATGAATAATGATATTGAAAGGAAAAAGGCAGTCTTTAGACATCTAAATAAGAGTAAAAGAAGTAGTTGAAAGGAAAAAGCAAGAAAGAACAGATAAGAATGATAGAAGAATATCGGATAACTTCCAGGCAAACATTAAAATGTTCTGGAAACTCGTAAGAACTGCCAGTTGACATTCAAAACAGCCTAGAATGAATGCTATACGAGACGAGAATGGCTGTATTCTGAATGACGAAGCTTTGAGTTTAAGGAGATGGAAGGAATACTTTGAAAGCGTGTTTATGAGTGATGAGATGTTTGAATTAAATGAATTAGAAATTCCGAAAGAAGAGGAAATAGATAAAGACATAACTATAGATGAAATAATGAAAGCAATGAAAAGTATGAAAGCAGGTAAGGCATGATAGAGTATCTCTCGAAATGCTGAGGGCTGGTGAAGGTGTGGTGGCAGACTTGCTGTGCACCTTGTTTAATTTATGTTGGGAACCTAAGCGAGTACCGGGAGACTGGTGCAAAGCCGTAATAGTCCCAATATATAAGGGAAAAGGATCACAGCAGAACTGTAAAAACTACCGTGGTATCAGCCTTCTTAGCTTTGTGGGAAAACTGTATGCTAAGATACTAATTGAAAGAGTTATGAAAGAAACTGATGGAAAAATTTGGGATGTGCAAGCGGGATTTAGAAAGGGAATGGGATGTACGGATTAGGTCTTTTCCATGCGCATGGTTGCGGAGAAGTTTTTGGCCAAAAAGCAAAAAGTTTTTTGTGCGTTCGTGGACTTGGAAAAGGCTTATGACAGAGTGGACAGGAATGTGTTATGGCAAACACTGAACTCATTTGGGTTGAGCGCTGTGTTGATACAGGCATTAAAGTCTCTGTATAGGGACTCTAGTGCTTGTGTCAGGATCAACGGGGCCTACTCGGACTGGTTTGATATCCATAAAGGTGTCAGACAGGGCTGTGTGGCTTCCCCGTGGCTGTTCAACCTATTTATGGACAGTTGTTTGGAAAATTAGAAAGTAGAAGAAAGCGGCTTAAGAATGGGTGAGTTAACCGTCAAATACCTTTTGTACGCCGATGATCAAGTCATACTTGCGTCGTCGGTGGCCGAATTGCAAATGATGGTTATATTATTGAATAGGACATTAAAAGAAAAGGGAATGAAAGTGAATGCAAGTAAGACGAAAGTTATGGTCTTTGAAAGAGAAGAAAGTAAAACGATATGTGAGATAAGAATAGAAGGGGAGTTGGTCGAGCAAGTAGATGAGTTTTTTTTTGTTTAAGTGTAGTTGGGATGTGTATTTAGCAGGGATGGTAGATATGATAAGGATACAGAACGACGAGTGAACACAGGAAATAGAGTGAATGGGGCTGTACACCCTATTGTGAGATATCAGAATGTGTATAAAAAGGTACGTATGGCAATTCACAATGCTGTGTTAGTCCCTACTTTAAGGTATGGTTGTGAAAGTTGGGTGTGGCAGAAGAAGCACGAGAGTAACATAAATGCTGTAGAAATGCGATCATTAAGGAGTATGTTAGGAATGAATCTGAATGACAGAGTGAGAAATTGTGTAATAAGAGAAGAGTGTGGCTTGCAAGATGATGTTGTGACCAGGATTAAGAAAAAAATGCTTCGGTCGTTTGGGCATGTAGAAAGAATGAATGAGGAAAGAATGACAAAGCTTTATGTTGCAGAGGTGAACAGCAGAGTCGAGAAGGGACGCCCTAGGCGAAAGTTTATCGACCAAATTGACGATATATTGAAAATGGGCCAAATCAAGAGTACCTTTAACCGACGAGCGTGTATGCGTAGGTACATGGATGTGGAAGAAGCGACAGAGGTGTGTCAGGATCGTGCCAAATGGAAGTCGATAGTCTCTGCCTACCTCTCCGGGTGACAGGCGTGAGTGTTTATGTATGTATTTAAAAGGGTACACCAGCTCCTCATGACCCGCCCTGCAGCAGAGATCGAACAACTAATGACCTTTTATTCACAGATACTAATACCACACCACGTTTAGTTCGGGAACAACGAGGTGGGCGTGACCCCTGAGAAGGTGTATCACTCAAAGCCCGTCTGCACTCTCAAAAGAAAGCTTAGACGACTAAGATTACGAGTTCCTATGGTACGGTCCGGTCTTGACGTCAGTCATCAGTGGACTCTATCTTCTTGTGAATGGAGTTGATTCGTGAAACGAAACACCAATTATTCTTCATAAATCCCCCTTTGGAAATGCGACACTGAAAATTTCACTACTTTTTCCTGTCACCCTTTTGTTTTCTTTTTCCCTATTGTTTTCTTTCTTGATTTAAACTAGAAACAAGTAGCTGGCCCCGAACGAATTTCTAGAATACCAGCTTCCTATCGTACTATGAAAGCTATAAGGTCACCCGGTGCGAAAGCAACTATGAGGCTAAAGTAACTCTCTGTTTTTTTCATAATCTGATGGTTATTGTAAAACGTGTCATCTGTTGGAGCGTAGACCAATGATAGTTTTTTCATATAATGTTCTGTTGAACTGACAGACCAGTTTTTGACAACGGCCATTTTGGAGCAACGTTTGTTGTCGGCGGCGTTGTCAGTTCGGTTTTGTGCTATTAAAAATATTTCACGTCGTTTACACCAAAATTGCAAGTTCGTTTTAGTAAAAACATAAAATGCTTTTGATTTATTTGGTTAAATGCTAGGTCTTATAATTAACATTTTATTGATATATGTAGTTAAATTTATCTCAAAAATTTGTGCAGATGGATAATGGCAACTATTTTTACAGTTGCAATCCCACATTTAAACCAATATCTTTATTTCTCAAAAGAATAACATTACATAATTTCACTTGAAAACACATACAAGTCTTATTATTATGATAAACACAACATCGCTATCACATAAAGACATTAAAATATTTAACAAAATACAACAATTTTACAAGACATTTTTAAAGTCATAAATCTTAAATATCTATTACACATGTTCCAAACAATAATCTTTATCAATAAACATGAATGTCTTATCTTAACTAATACAATAGTTTAATTCACAAATTAAAACCTTCAAGCAGCATTAATACACTTTAATTCAACTTTAATCTACTTATACAAATATATTATTATTTCGCTATTTTAAGCACAATCTTAAACATTATAACACATTTCTTATCTTATTATTCTACACAATAGTCCTGAAACATTCATTACCTATTTTCTCACACAGTACTGAACTTTCATAAATAAATTAAATCTTTTAAACACTATTGTTTTTAATGTTTTTGTACGTTATTTGGACGCTGTTCAAGTCCAAACAAAATGATCAACCAATTTCTCCACGACCCTTGTCTCCACGATAGGAGGCTAGTGCTTTCTCTGTCTAAATTACAGCTATCTCTGTTCATTATATAACATTATTTATTTACATACGCTATTCTTATCTAGCCAATATGTAACTTATCTCTTATCAAGTACATAACTAAAACAAGTATCAAGTAGCTCCCTTTCTATGGGCTTCCCGAAAAATCGTGCAATTGGATCACCAGATTTCTTGCAGATCGGAGCATCAAGGTCATTGTAGACGGTGCATGCTACGACTAAAAGCCTATTAATGCGTGCTATCACCAACGCATTTCTTCTATATATCAATGACATGTTGCTAACCGGTAACATTCATTTCTATGCGGATAACAGCACTGGTGATGCTGTATACACTGGGCGTGCCAATATTTCTCGAGAAAATGTCGCCGAGTACCTGAACAAACTTATGTCTGAAGTCAAGTCTTTGCTGAACAAAGTCTCGGATCGGGGGCGACTAAACCTAGTCCAGTTTAATCCTCAGAAGACACAAGTTTGCGCGTTTACCGCAAAAAAGAACCCCTTTGTCGTATCTCCTCAGTTTCAAGGCACTCCCCTTGTTACCTCAGCCAGTATCGGAATTCTCGGCGTCAACATATCGAGTAACGTGCATTTTTGTGATCAGTTCAAAGAGAAGGCCAAATTGGGCTCTAAAAAGCTTGGCCTGCACAGCAGAGCGGGACAGTATTTCATGCCGGCAGACCGCCTGCAACTTTACAAGGCACAGGTTCGGCCTCATATGGAATACTATTCCCATCTCTGTGCTGGGGCTCCCCAGTGCCAGCTCCTTCCTCTTAACCGCATCCAGCGCAGAGCGACTAAAATAATCGACGACCGAGTCCTTTTCGATCGGCTCAATCTACTGGCGGTGCGAAGTGCTATTGCATCTCTTTGCATGTTCTTTCGCATTTACTACGGGGAGTGCTCTGAGGAATTGTTCAGATTAATCAATTGACGGCTTTATTAATGTGAACAATTCAGATTAATAAAGCCGTCAAATTTCGCGAACGGACATCGCGGCAGAACTCCCGATACCATCCACACCATCTGGATGATTGGCGGTCCACCATTGTGCGATTTAGAAGATGTTTTCTGCCTCGCACAACTTCCTTGGTGAATCGATTACCATCAGTGATTTTTCCGGATCGATACGACTTAGGGACTTTCAAGAAAAGAGCCTCCTCCTTTTTAAAAGGCCGGCAACGCATCTGTAATTCCCCTGGTTCCCCTGGTGTTGCAGTTGTTCATGGGCGGCGTTAGTCACTTATCATCAGGTGAGTCGCATGCTCGTTTGCCCCCTCTGTTATAAAAAACCTCCAACTTCTCCCCCTTCCGCCCTAAAATACGCCCGCAATGCGTTCTTATTCATTTCAACTGTCCTTCGCATGCGGCGTACTCCACCAGAGGCGAATGCCGTTTGCTGAATCCGGGAGGACTACGCCGACACCAAGCCATCTGGTGGGGATGATGGATGCAAGGGGCTACGAGGTGGTCGTGCAGCCCCTCGCGCTCGAATGGCGGCTCGAATGCTGTCGCGTCCAGCGCTAGCTCACCCCCAGGCAGCGGCCCTATGCACGTTTCTCTTTTGCCATCAGGGCTATGGGCGTCAGTTCACGGGAGCCGTTTCATGATAAGGCCATATGCACAAATGGGCCTTTGCACCCTCTATTTTGCCGAGGCACGGCGCTTACAACGCTTGGCAAGGCGCTGACTGACTCCATCGACGTTGCAGTTTTGTCACTTAACTGTTACGTCAGCGGCCGATGTGGTCGTTACTTCCCTACAACTTAATATATTATTATTATTTATGTATTTACAAAGAATTCTCATCTGGTTGGGCTGAATATATGTATAAGTGTAAATGATAGTGATAGATATACATAAATATATATTAAATATACTAACATAAACAAATAATACAAATAAATAAAAGCCCAAAAGGCCGAGGGTTAGGGGGAAAGAGAAAGAAACCGGCGGATGATGCGGTATCGAGAAGCACCGCCTTCTGCATTTGAACCTGGAGCGGTCCGTCACGGAGTCCTAGTCGCCTCAGATGATCAGAGATTACAGAGATTATTATTATAAGCTGCTTTTTCGCCGGTATTCTGTGAGAGCGTGGTAATTCCCCAGTCGAGCTGATCCATTCGCCCTACAGCTATAATATAACTGTAGCATGGCTCTACCTAGTAGTGAAACATATTATATTAAACTATTATTGTCTATTTTTATTCTAGGTCTTAGATGCTGACTACGATCCACTTACGTACGTGGAGAAATGTCTCCGAGGTGAAATCAAAGCTGATCGTGCACACTGGAATACGAGTGGTTAGTCCCACTATCTTGTCATTAATTATACATAAATTAAATAGGCTCTTTGAATTTCAAATCAAAACGCTAAATCATTACTCGAGGTCCAACAATACAGCAATTAAATAGAGTGACAAAGGAAGATATAGGAGTAGCGTAACAACGAAAAGGATAGATTAGACTTCAGACATCGATTAGAACACGAAAATTAAAATTAGACTTAATAAAAAACTGAATTCGACTTTAAAGAACTAAAAAGTATAATTTCCACTTATAAGCTTTAGAAGTCGGTGCTAAGAAATAGTGTATATTAGAACAGAGCGGTGTACATTAGTGCATATTATGAAGTATTACAGCCCCGATTTCATAGGATATAAGTAAACATTATTTTATTCTTTTTATTTCTTTAAAGACGATTGTTCCTTTTATTAAGCCTAACTCTTACCCTTTTTAGTGGACTAAGTAATATCACAAGCTCAAAAGTAGTCTAAATACATTAAAACTATACCTACCCATATTTTGTCTTCAAATTTATATAAAACTACCACTAACTTTTTATTATAAAAGAAGCATTAAAATCGGTTCACAATTAACGGAGATATCGCATAACATACGAGTACATACAAAAAAGAACGTGCACACGAATTGACAACCTCCTCCTTTTTTAACGTACTAAGCTAAAAATCTGTTAGGTAAATTTTATTTGCTGCGTCCAAGTTTATAATTAATAATAATATGTCAAGATTTTATCGAAACATTTTATAAATTTCGAATCAAATATCAAAACGATCTATATGTATTTTAGCTAAGTTCGCTGCTGCATGTAGACCTCTCCAAGAATGTATCAGATGACCCAGTTCTTAAGAGATTTGTTATGCTCAACACGCTGGGCAGACAATTAGTGAACGTAGCATCTATACTAGTTTAGCTACTTTTCATTACCAGCTAGTGTGTTTGTTTAGTTTTTTCTCTTTGGTAAGTAAACATGCAGGCCTTTCCCCTTTACATCCTAATATACGCATCTAATATTTCTTGCAGATCTCACTGCGCGACTATCTTGGATAAACTGGGAAAATCTCGGCGTGAACCCTCAACGCAGAAGTGTCCTGACGTCCCTTGCACTGAGCTCGGAAAATTTACAGTATACGCACAATTAAAAGAAAACTTGACACGTGGTAGAGCCATGCTGCAGCTATGTTAGTAGTATAGTTGTAGCACGAATAGGTCGGCTCGACCGTGGAAGGACCACGCTCTCACAGAATACCAGCGTAAAATAGCAGCTTAACGCTGCTGTGTTTCGTATGGTGAGTGTAGAAAACTGGAGACCCTTTTTAATGAAAAAGAGGCATTCCATCTTAGTCCTCACGGGTGACAACTCATCTGCATTTTGATTCATAATCGAGGATAGATGTACATGTCTATGGGTCGCAGCAACCACTTACCATCAGGTGGACTGTGTGCTCGTTTGTCACCCTTATCCTATAAAAAAAAGTTAAGTGTGGCGCGAAACTCACAATTATTTCTAATTACCCCATATTTGAAAAAGTACTACTTCTATATAAGGTATTACAGTAGACACGAATAGAAACCCGGAGTAGAAAACTAGTAGTGGAAGATCCCACTAAGAAGTATAAGCAGATATTTTTTCGTACCAATTTACACGATTGTGTACTTGTAATGCATATAGTATTTGTAATAACCACTAACTTCGTAACTATCATTATTCCGGTAGCGAGAACAGTAAAATTTCAAATTAGTTCAAACAGGATTCGCTATCTAGTGCCGTCACTGAAATGCTATAGCCACCTACGGATTGCACCATCAGAAAGGTGATATCATCACATTCATCAAGGTCTCCATTAACTTTTTTGAAAATGAGTCCAAACGCGATGGTTCCACGTAGTAGCATTACTGAGATCCTTTACCCACCTTCTGAGTATACCATAAGGAAGGTGACATCATCACAGTCACCTTGGTCTCCATCCTCCGTCACACGAACCTCTCTAAATATATAAAATAATATAAAATACAAACAAGCATAGAAATAATGTAAGTGGCTACTAAGAAAATAAGTACTGACCAATAATTGAAACGAACTGAAGTCAGCGGCTTGCGGTGTGCCCGAAAAATCCATGGGTTGCCGTCAGTTAAAAATTTCAACTTCAGATTTCACACTCACGGTCAGTTTTTGGATGTACGTCAGTTAAACAGATCAGTTTAACTGACCGTATGTGGCAACCATAAGACTACCACCGCACTACCTTTCAGCCAGATGTACGCAAACTCAAAATGCTGATTAATAATAAACCTTTTTATATAAATGTATCACGTTGAACTAAGTTGTCTTGGGAAAAATCTTTAATAATGTATTGAATAGCATAGTAAAAAGTGTTCTGTATTATTAATGCATGAATAATCATTAAACTTTATTAAGCACCACTAGTGGTTCTATATAAGTCCTTTATAATAATACTAGCTGCACCCCGTGACTTCGCCCGCGTGCAATTTAGGGTTTTCATTACGTTGCGCGGCACCCTAATTCTTTTTCTAAAATATAAGTAGCTTAAGTTACTCCTTCTAACATCGGCTATCTGCCAGTGAAAGTCCCGTTGAAATCGGTCCAGCCGTTTCGGAGATTAGCCGGAACAAACAGACAGACAGACAGACAGACAGACCGACAGACAGACAAAATTTAAAAAAATTGTGTTTTAAGTACCGTATATACTTTCATTTGCATTTAGTAAAAAGCTGTTATGTTGACATTACAAACAGACACTTCAATTTTATTTATTTGTGTAGATTAGTATAGGCAAGTAACTTAATTGATTATTTGCTTGCATTATGCAATTATGAAGGTGATCTGAGTATTTGTTAAATTATAAAAAACTAAATGCGTTATATGTTGATACTAGGCAACATTCTAGCATTTATGTATTTTTGTTATTCACTTTCGAATTCAAATACTTATTAATGATCAAGATAAAATATATATACTTATTTAATAGTGTTTTAAAGAAAATTATTCAATAGATAAGAGAACAAATAGTTTATAATTATAAATTCAAAGAAATATTTTCTTTCCCAACCCAGAAAACTATAACGTAACTTAATACAAAATAAAAGATGTTAGCACTAGCTAGATAGAAAATAAGAGATTTACCTACGCACAATTCACTAATTTTAGTCATTAGGGAGGTAAATGCCTATATATAGATATTATGCCTGTTCTGTTTAATGTATCCGATTTACACTCAAAAAGTCGTGTACATAGAAATAAATATAAGAAAAGTGCAATATAAATTATGATAGACACGGTTATTGCTGTATTAGTATATAATATTATGATAATAATGCAAGCTGTTAATTTCTTAAATGGTTATTCGTATATTAGTATTTAAAGTTTTATGTAACGTGCTGAACGCAAAGCCTACTGTGGTCATTGACTTAATATATCTGGTGGTCGCCTAGAGGCTGAAATTAGACGGTAATTCATTAAATTTTTAAATTAAGGTATATTAAAGAAGCCGTATTTTACATTCAACTATACATACATCAAAAACACGTATATCTTTACTTCGACAAATCAGTGATTATAATACAGGGTTATTGATTTTTTTAAGAGTAGCCAAATTTTAAACCTAAGTTCAAAGATATAAATAATGATATTTATATCTTTGAACTTAGGTTCCGTTATTGCAGTTTTTGAAAATACGAGTAAATAAGGCTTCTACTTCTTTTTTTTTTTTGAAATTATCCCAAATTGAGTGTGATTTATGGGCAACTACTTGGCATACGCGCGCTCCTCTGGTGCGATTTAATTCACAATGTTTTTACTTACCAATCGACACTTTCGAATGTCTGCTTCTTTGGTCTGCTTGCGTAGTAAAATTGTAGACAATCAGTTAAAATAATGCATTACCACGCATTTTGAAAAGATAAAAAGGACAGATGTTTGAGATTTCTTTATAAAATTTTCTTCACTATTTGGCTATATTATTTATTCTGAACCTTCTCTGCAAATAACCTTGTGTAATCTTTGATATGAACGTAAACAATGTATGTTTTATTTACTTTAATTTAATGTATTTGTAAACATATTGTAGATACATTTTTGCTTTCTGCACTCTTTCTCCATATAAATTGTAAGTATGCTATACATACAAAGTTTTCTCTTGATATATTAATATATAGAGATGAGCCACAATACTTTAGTTAAGACCGCTGGCTTGTTGAATTCGCTGGCCTATTCTATTACAAGTCCAAGGAATGCCAACAAAAATGAATGGAAATAGATATAATCAAGCGAAAGTATACTTTTAATACTAATGCCAATTTGTATTGCTAAGAAAAAGAAGTAACTCAGTAACATTTAAAAAATACCTAAGGACTCAGGGATCGATCTTAGATTAGTGGAAATGTTACGGCCAATAGCCGAAGAGCGGATACACCTAGGTGTAGCCGGCCAATACAATGTGTAGTCGATTGCGCTTGATGTCGCCCGACCGACAGCAACAGCAGGCGACGTGTCGCGACGACACGTCGCCTGCTGTTGCTGTCTGCGGTCGGTTACGGAATTGTACCTTTATAACATAGCGAAGGGAATTAATAAATAATAATATACGAATAACGAAATGTACCTATTTTAAGAGTAAGTTATAAGAGTTTAGATAGTTTAAGTAAACATGTATTCATTAAAACTTAAAACATAAATGTTGTTTTATTTTAACTGATTTTAGTCTAGACTTGTCGAACATAATTAGCCGTGGTAGCTCTGTGTGCCTAGTGCGAGTTTTTTTACGCGCTCGATAGCGAGAAAGTTAACTACAATTTGTATGGAATAAAATCAGCGCCAACTAGTGGCAATAATCGGAATCACAGTTCATGAGTGCGAGTTTATTACGTCGTCGATATCGACCATCGAGCTGCTCGATCGATCGATTCGAGCATTCACTCGCATTCGACAGCGAGAACGTAAACGCACGTGATTGGTTGTTTCAAGAATTTTGCGAGTGCGAGTTAGCGGTGTGTCGTTATGTCTTTTCTAAATAACGTAACGTTATCGTTATGGTACAACGGATAACGTTATCATAACTATCTATATTCATAACTGTCTATTTTCATGTAACCGCAACTTAATAATATACCGTCATAGAACAGTTATCATCAAAATTATTTTCGGTCACTAAGTAAATACTAATTTAGTTGCTGAAATAAATTTTCCATCGTACTTTTGATCTTTTGACATCTTTCTAGCAATTAAGGCATCCATTTTTCCTTATTTGTGTTGAGACTGCGGTACAGTACAGCTGATCGCATCACGGAGGTTGGATTACACATCGAAGCCTGGCTCAAAAAGTTGTCTTTTAAGTTAGTGCTAACACAAGGACACCCAAAGTGTTCACAGGTCTCGAAGATCAAGCAATCGTTTGCTGTTCTAACGAAACTTGTGTGTACGCTTGTATATATCGCTGCCGTAAATGTAACTTCAGATAACCTGAAGTCGTCTGAAAACTAAATTCGTTTTGACAAATATTACAACGCGCTTTTTTATTTAAATTGTCAGTTTTTTTCGAAAAACTCCCACAAAACACAGTGTTTTGTCGCGACATTGTTTCTTTGTTATACTACAACCCAAAACGAAGCTATATCTATATTTACAATCACGAAATCAAATAAATATTTACAAAGGCCTTTTGTTCGTTTTTAGACTTCTTTTATGAACACTTATATCACTAAGCGTGCTTTATGTTTCGAAATAAACTTGGAATTAGCAAATAAAGCAAAGTTTTAAATAATAATATTACACCCAAAATTTTTATTACACCTTGTTCCTCAGAGATCTAATTAATATGAAAACTCAAGTTCAAAACTTGAAGGACAGAAGGTCAATAATAATATTTCATCTTAACAAGGTCTAGGCTATTAATGCAGTTTAATCCTTATATTTTGGGGCACAAGTGTTATTTTTCAATACATGGCAAAAACCCGTATTTACTGTGTAGAATTTTATAATAAACAGCACGAGATTTAAAATTGCTTTATTAAAAAAGACACATTGACAATTTGAAATACTTATACAAGTATCTATATGAAAAAGAATAATAATAAACTTATTTCTCGAATTTCGCTTCGCTCAACCTACACGTTTCAATATGAG